GAAATGTGACACATATTCATGGGTGGCGAGTATCACAGGCCAGGGGAGGCTAAGACTCCCCAAACAGCCAGGCATGGCCCTGCCCATGGTCCTCCCCGAGGCCCCCTCATGGGTTCCCTGCTCTTCCCCCATGGGGCCAGCCAGCCAGCAGGCTGGGACTCAGGGCAGCTGGGGCACGGCTCCTCTGGCCACAGTGAAGGGCCTGGGGCCCTGGTGGGGAAGGGCGGTGCAGGGGCGGCTCTATGTTTTTTGCCGCCCCAAGCACGGCAGGCAGGCTGGCTTCGGCGGCCTGCCTGCGGGAGGTCCGCCGGTCCCGTGGCTTCAGCATACCCGCTGACGAATTGCCGCCGAATCCGCAGGACCTCCCGCAGGCAAGCCGCCGAAGGCTGCCTGACTGCTGCCTTCGCAGGGACCGGCAGGCTGCCCCCCCACGGCTTCCCGCCCCAGGCACGCGCTTGGAGCGTTGGTGCCTGGAGCCGCCGCTGGGGTGGTGGAAGGGGTGGGGCCTCGGTGCTAGCTTCCTGGAACAGGTGGTTCACATGCCACCCGTGCCCATATTTCGTCGTCCGTAAAGAACCAACGGGGAGCAAATTATGGCAAGAGGATCAGGCCTAATAAAATGTGCGCACACACACGTGGGAAAAGCACACCTCAAAGAGGCTTCCTTGACAGCCTCTGAATCTATTCAAGGCCATTTCTACTCATAATTCAAGACCAAGGACACTGGGAGTTTGAGAAACTAAATTCTACTTTATATTTTCAAAGCAAGAAATAAAAAGCTCCCCCTGCCCCTCCACCCAACGCCCAGCTCAGCGCGGTGCATCTCAGCCCCAGCCCAGCCCAGGACAGTGCTGCTCCCAGCTCCCGCAGGCCTCAGCAACACAACCAACATTTTACAGCGGGCAGAAAAGTGCAGAATCTCTGGGAGAGACGCCGGGATCTAGTCACAAATGCTCCGAGAACAGGAAACCCAGGGAAAGCTGTTTAATGGGAGCCAGAGAACGGGGTAAACGGACAGCAGCGTCAGCATCTCCAGTCCCAGCCGAGGCTTTTATCCCCGTGGGGACGCACCTGGTGGGTGGGGCAGAGACAGTTTCCCCTCACAGGATGCTGTGCTAGACAGGAAGGGGTGACCAGGTGGGCTGTCAGCTTGCTTGTCTCTCCAGCCTCAGAGATGGAGGTAGACCTGTCTTCAAGGCTAGTCAGACCTACTGATGTCCCCCGCTTCCTTCTCAGCTCTGCACAGCCTCGTCCTCTGAGGAATCAGATGACCTCCCTCCACATCGCTCAACTTGAAGCATCATTCGTTGCCCTTTAGGATTCAGGGATGGCTTCACCCGCTGCTCAGATGGCATTTCCTGTCTCTCTTTTGCCCAGGTGCAGCGAGTTAACAGTTCTCAGCCTCAGCTGTCTGGCTCTCCAGAGCAAACCTTACCGTTCCCCCTGTCTCCCGCCTCCCACCCTGACTGGATCCCATGGCACGGCAGGGATCGATCAATAGCTTCCTTCTCCATATCACTTGCTGCCTCTTGAACTGCGACCCTCACAGTCACCCATCAGTGTGTATGTCGATACTTATTTATAATTGTCATTGTTCAAACACCACTAAGGTCACATGGCGAAAGGTGGGGAAGCAGTAAAAAACAAATGAGAAAGGACTATTCTGGCAAATGCTTATTTGTCAGAGGCAGGTATCCAATAAATCCGCTGTACATCCTACCAAGCCAAACTAATATCCAAGTATGTGATCCAAACGTCTTCAGGAAAGAGAGAAACCCAAAAGTACAAGGGATGAAAATCCAATTTCAAGTTCACATCAGTTGAAATCCAAGAGCATGTTGCATCTGACTGAAATACAGGAGACCAATTTTGCCCGTGTTCCTTTTCAAATTGGCTGCACCTACTTCACTTTGTGCCTCATTAGTTGTATTATTTACAAAATTTTAGCACCATCATAATGAAAGGAAAACAAACAAAACAAAAAATCCCCCAAACTTGCTGTCTGTAACCAATCTGAACTTGGCAAGGAAAAAAGCCCAGAAGCAGAAGCCACTTTATCAACAGATGGAAACTGGGATTTCAATTCGGAAGGATCACACCGTGTCTGGGATTCAATTGCGTTCCGCTTCCAGGTCTGTGACACTTTCATCTCCAGCCCTCAGGAGTCTGATTTAGGATCAAAGAAATCAAAGTGCATGGAGAGCCAACACTTTGGGAGGTGGAAGGGTGGAATGTGGGGAGGATAAACAATCCGTGAGCTAATAGGAGGGTGGGGGGATCAACATGGTGATGGAGGGAATTTCTCTGACTCATCCCAACACCCTCCAGTAACCCACAGGCTGAGTCAACACATTTTTCTGTCCCCGCTCCAGCTATTTTAGAATCTATTCAATTCTGCTTCATAAAATACAAAAGGTAGAAATATAAATGCTCTTCAGCACAAGTGAGAGCGAGGTAAGAATCACTTGGAATGATGCAATCTGTCCCGACAAGGGGGAACTCGGTGCCTGTAACCATCACACCTCTAAAGGAGGTGCTGCTATAAATGAGATCATAGAATCATAGAAGATTAGGGTTGGAAGAGACCTCAGGAGGTCATCTAGTCCATCTCCCTGCTCAAAGCAGGACCAACAGCAACTAAATCATCCCTGCCAGGATTTTGTCAAGCCAGGCCTTAAAAATCTCTAAGGAAGGAGATTCCACCACCTCCTAGGGAACCCATTCCAGTGCTTCACCACCCTCCTAGTGAAACAGTTTTTCCTAATATTCAACCTAAATCTCCCCCACTGCAACTTGAGACCATTGCTCCTTGTTCTGTCATCAGGTACCACTGAGAACAGCCGGGCTCCATCCTCTTTGGAACCCCCTTTCAGGTAGTTGAAAGCAGCTATCAAATCCCGCCTCACTTTTCTCTTCTGCAGACTAAACAATCCCAGTTCCCTCAGCCTCTCCTCATAAGTCATGTGCCCCAGCCCCCTAATCATTTTCATTGCCCTCCGCTGGACTCTCTCCAATTTGTCCACATCCTTTCTGTAGTGGGGGTGCAAAACTGGATGCCATACTCCAGATGTGGCTTCACCAGTGCTGAATAGAAGGGAATAATCACTTCCCTGGATCTGCTGGCAACGCTCCTACTAATGCAGCCCAATATGCCATTAGCCTTCTTGGCAACAAGGGCACACTGCTGACTCAAATCCAGCTTCTCGTCCACTGTAACCCTCAGATGTTCAGGCTCAGTCAGGAACACTGGCTGAAGTCTGACCCGGATCAGAGGGAAACGTGCTAGCTAACCCCAGTTGAACCCAGACCATATTTCCTAGCCTCAGAGGCTGATGCTGCCAGGGCTGAGGTGGGATTCCTAGGCCTCTAGTCTTTTCTAGGCCTCTTTCAAGGGCTGTATGGAAACCAGTCCCTGTCAATGGCTGAGCGTGGAGGGGGGCAGATCAAAGGGGCAGAAGGGGTGAACAACAGGGAGCAGAATCTCTAAGCCCATCCCTTCCCTCCCCTCTTACTCCATCATCCCCAAATACTAGCGAGTGCCAGCCTAGAGCCCCATCTGGTTCCCATCTACACAAGGCCCAAAACCTTCAGTCTTCCAGTTTCCGGGTCTCCTAATATTTCATTCCCCAGAACCCAGCGCCCTGGGGGACTGGTAGAGGGGAGTGGACACATTGTCAGCTGTCAGGGACACGTCCCTTGCAGGGAACAGCTCCAGGTAGTGGAGTGGGCGTGGGCGGCAGGGGATGGATCACTTGATGAGCGCCCGTGCTGTTCATTCCCTTCAGGGGCACCTGGAATTGGTCACTGTCGGAAGACAGGATACTGGGCTAGATGGACCTTTGATCTGACCCAGTCTGGCTGTTGTTATATAGGCAAGTTGGGGAGCCCAGCCCAAGGGCTGGTGGAAGATGGGGGATGGGGACAGGTGTCTAGAGTGAAGGTGGGGCCTGGACCGAGTGTCCTTCTCCTCATCTCCATGGCGGGGGGATCCCGGCTGGGAGGGGAAGGGAGAGGGGGGAACTTCAGCCAGGCAGAGGGAGCATCTGGAGGAGTTTCTCTCTCTCCCTTCCCCCACCTGTGGCCCATCAATTCAGCAGCCAGGGCTGCAGCAGGGAGGAGGGGCTGATCGGGGCTTCTCCTCCTCTGCCTGTGGTTTGCTTAGACCAGGCAGAGCCAGAAGGTCACCGATCAGCTCAGGTTTGGCCGCTGCTGTGTCCTCACCCCAGCGATGGGCAGCTGGATGCTTGGGAGCCAAATGCCACAGATACATATGGGAATTAGGACAGTGGTTGGCACTTGTAGAATTTCCTGTGTGAAGTCTCTGAGGTCTGATATCAGTTTAGTCTATGCTACAAAGTTTTGCCAGCATAGCTATGAACATAAGAACATAAGCACGGCCACACTGGGTCAGACCAAAGGTCCATCTAGCCCAGTGTCCTGTCTTCCGGCAGTGGCCAATGCCAGGTGCCCCCAAGGGAATGAACAGAACAGGGAATCATCAAGTGATCCATCCCCTGTCGCCCATTCCCAGCTTCCGGCAAACTGAGGCTAGGGACACCATCCCTGCCCATCCTGGCTAATAGCCATTGATGGATCTATGTTGGCGAGAAGTGTGAAAAAAATCATACACCCCCTAGACAACCTAGCTATCGTGGCAAAAAATCCCAGTGTAAGCACAGCTAGTGCTTCTGTGGGCTTAGCAAAGGTCCTTCCAGGAGGTGGTTTAGCCATTTCAGCAGATCTCCTTCTGTTGGCTTAAGCTGCGTCTCCACTAGGACACTTTGCCAGCAGAGATATACCGGCCAAGGCTCTGCAGTGTAGACAACCCCGTTAACTCTGAAGGATTTTCCAAGCTAAGGACATTTAAGAGGCATTTTCCCTGTATAGATTTGCCGATGGCTGGCACAATCAGACCCCGAGTTATAGCTGCTCTAGGGTGACCAGATAGCAAGTGTGAAAAATTGGGACAAGGATGGGGGGTTAATAGGCACCTATATAAGACAAACCCCCAAATATCATGACTGTGCCTATAAAATTGGGACATCTGGTCACCCTAAGCTGCTCCCACATTCAAGGTTTCTGGGCCATGTGAAGTCTCTGATGCGTAGTAAGGTTTGAGCTCTGATTGAAACGTTTCCCACAGTCGAGGCATTTATAGGGTTTCTCTCCAGTGTGGGTTCTCCTGTGCCTAATAAGGGTTGAGTTCTGATGGAAGCTTTTCCCACAGTCAAGGCATTTATAGGGTCTCTCCCCTGTGTGGATTCTCCGGTGTGAAATAAGGGTGGAGCTGTCGCTGAAACTTTTCCCACAGTCCAAGCATTTATACGGTTTCTCTCCCGTATGGAAGATCTGATGTTTAATAAGCTGTGAGCTCCAGTCAAAACTTTCCCCGCAGTCTAAGCATTTATAGGGTCTCTCTCTCGTGTGGATTCTCTGATGCGAAATGAGGTTTGAGCGGCAAATGAAACTTTTCCCACAGTCCGTGCACGTGTAGGGCCTCTCTCCCGTGTGCAGTCTCTGGTGCGTAATAAGATCTGAGCTCTGATTGAAGTTTTCCCCACAGTCGGGGCATTTGTAGGGCCGGTCTCCCGTGTGGAGTCTTTGATGCGTAATAAGATTGGAGCTCTGATTGAAGCTTTTCCCGCACTCAATACACTTATAGGGTCTCTCTCCCGTGTGGATTCTCCGATGAGAAATCAGATTGGAGGTTTGACTGAAGCTCTTCCCACACTCCGTGCATTTATAGGGTTTCTCTCCGGTGTGGGTTCTCCGATGAGAAATCAGGTTTGAGCTCCGATTGAAGGTTTTCCCACACTCAGTGCATGTGTTTTTTCTCTCTTCCGCATGGATTCTCTTCTGGGCTGAGGTTTCCTTGAGGCTTTTGTATCCTTCCTCACAATTAAGGGTCTTACCCACTCTTTTCCTCGGTTGGTTGCCCAGCCGCTTCTTTGACTTGTGCTGTTTCCCCCAGTTTTTCCCCTGCTCGCAACTCTGGGGAAAATTCCCCTTGGATCTTTCCGATAAGGTCCCCTGAGATGCCACTTGCTCAGGACCTTCCCGCTGTAGAGTCTCCTCCTTTTTGTCATTCTCCATCCCATCACCTGCTGGAATAAAGAGAAAGAATTCAGACATGAATCATTCCCCGTGCTTGGGTGAAAGGAAAGAATGAGGAAGAGGGGAAACACAACAAGCGTTGGGGAAATTGAGAAAGGTATAATTTACTGAACCATCTGTCATTGTTCCTTCTCTGAAGTGGGCACCAGGAGCTCCATGATCCATGATAACTGGGTTACATCTCCACATCATCCAAGCATAGAGGGGACGATGTGTGTGAAAGACAGAGAGAAAGTAGTAGTAGTAGAAGAAGAGCCATAATTCTTGAAAGATGAGGAAGAATAACCCTGTTGTGGTCAATCACAGAGCAGGGGTGAAGATCCTACATCTGTTAGCCAGGGTGGATGGGTGGGAAGCCAGATGTGACATCCACCATGATGATACAACTGATTAGGCCACTCTGATGACTGCCTAGGAAGGAGTACTGCGGAATGGGATCTGGGAGTCATAGAGGATCACAAGCTAAATAGGAGTTAACAGTGTAACCCTGTTGCAAAAAAAGCAAACATCATTCTGGGATGTATTAGCAGGAGTGCTGTAAGCAAGACATGAGAATTAATTCTTCCGCTCTACTCCACGCTGATACGGCCTCAGCTGAAATATTGTGTCCAGTTCTGGGCACCACATTTCAGGAAAGATGTGAACAAATTGGAGAAAGTCCAGAGAAGAGTAACAAAAATTATGAAAGGTCTAGAAAACAAGACCTATGAGGGAAGATTGAAAAAATTGGGTTTGTTTAGTCTGGAGAAGAGCAGACAGAGAGGGGACATGATACCAGTTTTCAAGTACATAAAAGGTTGTTACAAGGAGGAGGGAGAAACATTGTTCTCCTTAACCTCTGAGGATAGGACAAGAAGCAATGGGCTTAAATTGCAGCAAGGGCGGTTTAGGTTGGACATTAGGGAAAACTTCCTGTAAGGGTGGTTAAGCACTGGAATAAATGCCTAGAGAGGTTGTGGAATCTCCATCGTTGGAGATTTTTAAGAGCAGGTTAGACAAACACCTGTCAGGGATGGTCTAGATAATACTTAGTCGAGCTGTGAGTGCAGGTCCCTTCCCGTCCTATGACACCTGCTGGCCACAGCCCTGACATGGGTGAGATGAGGCAGAACTGGGAGAGCTCATTCACAACATGTTTATGGGAGTCCCCGCTTTTTGCTTCACTCTCTGATTGCTTCTGTGTCAGTTTGATTGATTCCTCATCTGTTCGGGCACCTCTCGTGATTTCCCTTTCCTTAAAGCCCTGGAGATCTGGGACCCACGGCTCTTCCCCTCGTTCCAGCCAGCTGATCAGGCCAGGTTGGGGGATGGGGAATCCTGCTCAGGGGGTGAAATCAGACAAGATCAGGGTGTGTCACAAAGAACATTCCTTGATCTTAACTTGGCCCTGCTCTTGGCTCGGGGGACATGGAATCTGAATGGATGGGACCATGGTCAGGAGCAGCACAAGGTTCCTAAAAGTGGGGGGGACACTGGTGCCTGACCTGTGGCCCTGAGCCTGAGGCCCCACCGAACCCCTGTCCTCGCATCGTCCCCTTCTGCTCGAGCCCCCACGCTGCCTCTTCCCCCTAGATCCCGCCTCCCACTTTTTCCTCTCCGCCCCCTCACCCTGTATCTCACCCTTATGGCTGGTAAAAAGAGGCAGGGCATAGCCCCCTGGCCACCTCTGTTCTGGTGCCCCTGACCAGTCACTGAGCCCCCTTGGGACGGGAAGGGGGAGATGTGCCTTTGACAGATTTGGAGCCGCTCTGTAATAAGTTATGAATATTATATGTTCTCTTTTTCTGACAGTTGTAAGGGTGGTGGCTGCCAGACTACAAGGGGTTAATTCAAGAAAGGCTTGGTTGCAGGTACACAGGAAGACAGTGACTTCAGATAACCACCCTTTGCACTCAAGATACGCTTGTGACAGAGTGCTGGAGGCTAACAAGTGATCACTTAGGCACCCATAGGTGCTGACTTTTGGTTTTCCCCAGGCATGCTCCTCCCTGAAGCCCTGCCCCTACTCTACCCCTCCCCTGACACCTCACCCTTGCTCTCTTCTTCCCGCCCTCGCTCCGCCCCTCCCCCGAGGCCCCCACCCGCCCACCATTCACTGCTCTCAGCCCTCCCCCAAGCACCTCCCCCAGCCTCTAAACAGCTGATTGGCAGCCCTGCACACCCACAGCGTCGGCGCCTATATAGGCACAGATTTGTTCCCCAGGAGAAGACTGATTGGGGAATATGCGGATAATTAGCCGGTCAGTCTGGGGACTGATGAACCAATTAGCCATCCATGGAGGGCTAGGAAAGAAGACACAGGAAGGACGTGGAGAGGGGCAGATGGGATGGTTTGTGGGGTTTAGATGAAACTCCATTTGGTTTTCAGGAGGCTGTTTGCAGTCACAGTATTCGCTGCTGCTCACTAGTTCCTGAAGGGAAGAACCGCAGGCCTATTTCTAACCCCCAAGTGCCCAGAGCCCTGCCCAGGGATGGAGCTAGTCCCGGGAAGGAAGGGGAAGAGGGATTCTGTGTGTGAATGAGAATTCAGACTGGCAGGTCAGGACAGTTCTTCTGACACCTTGAGATCTGGAGGGGATGGAGCTAAATGAGCATCTCCTCTGGGTTTCGGACTCCTCCATCCTATGGGAAGGGGTGTGGAGATCTGTCTCTCTCACTCTGGATCTGAGGATTATCAGGTCCATGCCCCTGAAATTGAAGTGGCCAGGGAAGACCCTGAGAAGAAGCTGATCTGGCCACATCCCAAACCCCTCAGCTTCCAATAACCGAGGCGACAGGAACCCCTTACCCGGTGAGGTCACCGTCTCATAGTTCTCCTGCATGACGTCCCTGTGGAGGGCTCTCTGAGCGGGGTCCAGCAGAGCCCCCTGCCTCTGGGTGAAATACACAGCCACCTCCTCGAAGGTCACCGGCCCCTGAAACAACAAGAGACTCCCACTCAGCACCTGCTGCCCCAGCCACAATCCCACTAGTCACAGGGGAGGAGGGCCAATAAAATGGAAGTTCGGTGTGGAGGGGGGACAGCGTAGCAGAATCCCACCCCCACCCTGCTCAGAGCAGCCAGGAGGCTTCAGGGTGGGGAGAAAGAGAGAGCCCCTTGTCTCTCCCCCCCCCCCCCCCAGCAGATGGTGGAGGGCAGGGGCCTTCCCGTTTATCACACACCTACTAGCCACAGGCTGATACAGGAAGTGGAGCCGGCGGAGAACTGGAAATATCAATCATATCATATTTCCTCTGATACATGAGCATCTCCACTTCTTCTTATTTATCACCTAGGCTCCTCGCATTAGAAGATAGACAGGGTTTTTTTTAAAGTGTTACTTATATGACTCTTTGCACTTGGATTTGTCATACCTATGATGACTTGAGGCTGGTTTACAAGCTTGGGTATTGGTACCATGATTGCCCTGTTATCCCCCTCCCACTTCCTGATTAGTTTAAACCCCTCACGGTTCTTCCAGCAGCTCATCTGTCGCCCAGGAGTTCGGTGACCCTACCACTGAAAGAGAGGCTGTCAGAACCGTATGGCCTCCTCTCTCCATGGTCTGCGCTGTGACTGCTAGTGCGGATGCATGGGTGTGACTCAGTATCATATTGCCTCTGTATAAATCCATGGTATGCCCGCATCTGGAATACTGCGTGCAGATGTGGTCGCCCCATCCTCAAAAAGATATATTGGAATTGGAAAAGGTTCAGAAAAGGGCAACAAAAATGATCAGGGGTATGGAACGGCTTCCGTATGAGGAGAGATTAATAAGACTGGGACTTTTCAGCTTGGAAAAGAGATGACTAAGGGGGGATAGGATAGAGGTCTATAAAATCACGACTGGTGTGGGGAAAGTAAATAAGGAAGCATTATTTACTCCTTCGCATAACACAAAAATGAGGGGTCACCAAATGAAATTAATAGGCAGCAGGATTAAAACAACCAAGAGGAAGTATTTCTTCACACAGCGCACAGTCAACCCAGGGAACTCCTTGCCAGAAGATGTTGTGAAGGCCAAGACTATAACAGGGTTCAAAACAGAACTAGATAATTTCAGGGAGGATAGGTCCATCAATGGCTACTAGCCAGAAGCTGAGAATGGGCAACAGGGAATGGATCACTTGATGATTCCCTGTTCTGTTCATTTCCTCTGAAGCACCTGGCACTGGCCATTGTTAGAAGACAGGACACTGGGCTAGATGGACCTTTGGTCTCACCCAGCATGGCCGTTCTTATGTTCCCCCCTCACCTTGCATTGTTACCGCTCGGGGAGGGAGAAGGGATTCGCATCCTTCTTGAAATAGGACATGCAATGCGGTGACTTGTGGAGGGAAGCCAGATAAGCATCAATGAACTATCAGAAACTAAAACCACTGGGGGATAATTAATGCAAATCCCTAGGCTGGTAAACGAGTCTGTAAAAATACCACCCTTTCTGGTGAAAATTGCATACCTGGGGTTAAAGAAGCCCAGCAAGCAAAGAACTGAGAATTGTAAAAAGGGAGAAGGGTTTGAAGGACTTTGAAACATACCAGGGTCTCCATGTGGAAGGTGGGTGATGGCCAGGGTCGGCGCTTCCACTAGGCAACCCTAAGCGGTCGCCCAGGGCGGCAGGATTTGGGGGGCGTCATTTTGCCGTCCTCGTTGGCAATTTGGCGGCGGGGGTCTTTCCGCTCTGCGTCTTTGGGGCGCTTCGGCGGCGGGTCCTTCACTCGCTCTGGGACCCGCCGTCGAAGCGCCCCGAAGACGCGGAGCGGAAGGACCCCCGCCGCCAAATGCTCTGAGGAGGAGCGCTGCCACCTAGGGTGGCAAAAACCCTGGCGCCGCTCCTGGTGACGGCTGATAAGACAGGCCTGTATGTCAGCTGTTTGACAGTGCTGGGGAGTTCAGGTTAGGACCTGCTTTCTGCTTAAAGGTGGAACTCTTCTAATCACTCTAAAATCTGCATGGGTATTCGGATTGTCTTGACATTTGCTGTGCAGCATGGAAACGTGGGAGTGGCTTAGTGACCTACATTTAAGGTTGTTTGATTATGTGGTTCCTGAGATACATCTCCCCCACCACCAATAAAAGTTTTTCTTAAGGTTCAGGGATTCTACCAACATTTTTTTTTGCACAGCCTAGGGATCAAACCAGGGCTCTGCTCTGGCACAAAGGTCTCCTTCACTTGAGAGCTACTTCAGCAAGCGCATGACGTCCACTACCCCTTTGGGTCAGCAACATTGAAAATTGTATTCACCAAAGAATGTCTAATGAGCACCTACCTAACCGCTCACACTAGGGTGACCAGATGTCCCGATTTTATAGGGACAGTCCCGATTTTTGGGTCTTTTTCTTATATAGGCTCCTATTACCCCCCACCCCATGTCCTGATTTTTCGCACTTGCTGTCTGGTCACCCTAGCTCACACGGCGCATGCACACTGGCTTGTCCCAGCTCCTTCAGAACAGTTGTAACCGTCACGGGGATGTGTCACTTGGGGTGACCGGACGCTTATATTGTCAGCTGCAGCCAGCTCCTTATTGGATTATTGAATTAATAAACAATTAAGTAATTAGTAACTTCAATTTGTATCACATTCAGTCATGTTCATTTGATCCAATTTCTAAAAAAAAATAACAATCTGACACTGACGCATTTTTAAATATTTTTTTGGCCTTTGAAGAAGGAATTGGGAGCCACAAATAAGTAGTTGGGAATAAGGAGCCAATTTTAGCCTCCTAACAGTTCTACCAATTAAATACCTACCCCAGTGGCTCTCAACCTTTCCCGACTACTGTACCCCATTCAGGAGTCTGATTTGTCTGGCGTACCCCCAAGTTCCGCCTCACTTAAAAACGATTTGCTCACAAAATCAGCCATGAAAATACAAAAGGGTCACAGCCACTAATCCTGAAAAAATTGCTGACTTTCTCATTTTTTACCATATAATTGTAACATAAATCAATTGGAATAGAAACATTGTACTTCCATGTCAGTCTATAGAGCAGTATAAACCAGTCATGGTCTGTGTGAGATTTTAGTTTGGACTGACTTCGCTAGTGCTTTTATGGAGCCTGTTGTACCACTAGGCAAATATCTAGATGAGTTGAATTCCCCAATGGAAGGCGTCTGCGTACCCTCAGGGGTACATGTACCCCCGTTTGAGAACCACTGGCCTAGCCCATGTGTTTGAAACCCTCTGGGCTTCAGCTTCTAGTCAGCTTTCCCATACGTGCCTGTGGACTTGGGTGCTAATTCCATTGTTTCAGCCACTCAATTACAATACTTTCTTCAGCGTTATTCTGAATGGAAGACAGGGGCCAGGCCTGCCCCATAACAAGGTTTAGCCCAACCCATAACAGCATTTACACCTTAATCAACTCAAAGTCACCTCTTGATTTTCTTTTCGATAAGCTAACAGGTTAAGCTCTTTAAGGGCAGGTCTACACTGAGAACGCTGCATAGACACCATTGCAGCACTTTAATGAAGACGCTCTAAGTGGACAGAAGAGAGCTCTCCCTTTGCCTTAGTTAACCCACTTCTGCAAGAGGTGGAAAGTAAGAAGCTCTCCCACCGACATAGTGCTGTGTACACGGGGGCGAGGTCGGTATAACCATGTTGATCGGGGGGATGGATTTTTCAGCCTCTGAGTGACGTAGTTAAGAACATAAGAACGGCCATACTGGATCAGACCAATGGTCCATCTAGCCCAGTGTCCTGTCTTCCAACAGTGGCCAATGCCAGGTGCCCCAGAGGGAATGAACAGAACAGGGAATCATCAAGTGATCCGTCCCCTGTTGACCATCCCCAGCTTCTGGCAAACAGAGGCTAGAGACACCGTTCCTGCGCATCCTGGCTAATAGCCATTGATGGATCTATCCTCCATGAACTTACCAAATTCTTTTTTGAACCCTGTTGTAGTCTTGGCCTTCACAACATCCTCTGGCAAGGAGTTCCACAGGTTGACTGTGCATTATACCGACAGAGGTGTGTTGTGTAGACCAGACCTAAGACTTTTGCTATAAAGCACGTTCTCTGGCCCCTGAATCTTTTCTGCACGCCTTTCCAATTTTGCCAACATCCTTTTTAATATGTGGACACCAGAATGGCAGGCAGTATTCAAGTACCAGTCTCACCAATGTTGCAGAAAGGTAAAATCACTTTCCTATTCCTACTCACTGCTATTTAAACATCCAAGGATCGCATTAGCCCTGTGTGCCACAGCATCACACTGGGAGCTCATGTTGAGTTCCTTATCCACTACGACCCCTAAATCCATTCCAGAGTCACTGCTTTCCAGGAAACAGACCCCATTCTGTAGGTATGGCCTACACCAGTGGTTCTCAACCAGGGGCACACATACCCCTGGGGGCACCCAGAGGTCTTCCAGGTGGTACATCAACTCATCTAGATCAGTGTTTCTCAACCTGAGGGTTCTGACCCCCAGGGGGGTCGCGGGATGGATTTAGGGGGGTTGCAAGTGCAGGGCCGGCATTAGAGGTGGCAAACAGGACAATTGCCCAGGGCCCCACAAAGCTAAGTTACATGTTTCAGCTCCAGGTGGCAGGGCTCAGGCAAAATCTAGAAGCCAGGGTGGATAGGTAATATCTCTTATTGGATAAACTTATGTTGGTGAAAGAGACAGAGCTCTTCGTCAGCTCAGGCCCAGCCTTAAGTTGAAGCACTGTGCGTAAACTCGAAAGCTTGTCTCTGTCACCAACACAAGTTGGCCCAAGAAAAGATATCCTCACCCCCCTGGACTTATTGAGGTAGGCCCTATACAAACACAGAACAGACCTCTGCCCTTTGTGCCTTTGAAAATCCCCCCCCCCCTAAAATCCTAGTGTA